CCCACAGAAGCCCAGGAAGACACCTCACACACTGAGAGGTGAACTCCTTGCTGCAGCTTCCTTATGCACAGACGCTAAGAGGGGCTGCCAAAGCGCAAACGCAATCCATCTCCAGGCCGAAGAGCTGAACTGGGTTCCCAGTGCACGACGCTCTTCCTGCTTGTTACGTGTTGAGGCAAAATTAATTACTGTTACTCAGGAGCCTTAATTCTGCCATCATCTCAGGAATGGGGAGGGAGTTTAGGAAACAGCAGATCAAATTGGTACATTAATTATTTACCCATTTGGCATCTTCATTTGGAAAATGTGTATTATTGTTATTATTACGTGTCCTAGTCTGGCAGTTGCTAGTTGGCTCCAGTTAGGGCACAATTTTGCTGTTTCCATGGGAATGCTGGAGGAGATAGTTCTGTTTGTCTGCTTATAGTTCTGGCTCTGAGGTGTACCCCTGCCAGGTAAAAGACAGAGTATGCTGAGAGGAGCACCAGACTTGGACTCAGAAAGTCTGGGTCATTGCCCAAGCGAACTGTCATCTGTAAAATGGGCTGATGGCTGTTGGAAGGGTTCAACATCATAGTACAGTACAAAAAGAAAAAGAAACATGGGTATCTGTCATGTTGCTAACCAACCTGTGTGTGGTCCTGCACTAGATGGAAAGTGTTCACTGCAGCAGCTCACAACAGAAGTAGCAGTCAATAATAAACACTGCCCAACCCTTTGTAGAGCCAATACTTCTTGAGAGCTCTCCCCTGTACTATTTTGGGTGGTATTAAGTTCTGCCTCTTGGGAATCTACAGAAACACAGGTAAAGGCCAGGCACAGTGGCTCATGCCTGTAATCCTAGCACTCTTGGAGGCGAAGGCGTGTGGACTGCCTGAGCTCACAGGTTCAAGACCAGCCTGAGTAAGTGCAACACCCCATCTAAAAAATAGCTGGGTGCTGTGACAGGGGCCTGTAGTCCTAGCTATTCAGGAGGCTGAGACAAGAGATTCACCTAAGTCCAAGAGTTTGAGATTGCTGTGAGCTATGACACTATGGTACTCTACCAAGGGTGACAAAATGAGACCCTGTCTCAAAAAAAAAAAAAAAAGAAAGAAAGAAAGAAAGAAACATGGGTAATATCATGTTGCTAACCAACTTGTGTGTGGTCCTGCACTAGATGGAAAGTT